TTTTTCTTCATATTTAAAAAGTGGAAATTAAATTGGTGATGAAGGTGCATCATGCTTAGGTTCTGCTTTAGCAAATTGCATTAATCTCTCAAATTTGACACTTGAACTTTCGTAAAAACAGTTTATTTGTTTTGGATTGTGATATTTTAAATTATAAAAACTAATTAAAAACAATAAAGCTCTTTTTTCTTTTTCTTTTTATTGTGCTTGCTTTTTTTTGTTCTTTCTTTGTTAATTTAGCTCATCATTTTATTTTCAACTTTTGCTTTTATTATTTATTTCTTATTATTTCATATTTTTTCTTCATTTTTTCCTTTAATTAACTATTTAATGATATATTTTTTCTTCAATATTTAAAAAGTGGAAATTAAATTGGTGCAATGAAGGTGCATCAGGCTTAGGTTCTGCTTTAGCAAATTGCATTAATCTCTCAAATTTGACACTTGAACTTTCGTAAAAACAGTTTATTTGTTTTGGATTGTGATATTTTAAATTATAAAAACTAATTAAAAACAATAAAGCTCTTTTTTCTTTTTCTTTTTATTGTGCTTGCTTTTTTTTGTTCTTTCTTTGTTAATTTAGCTCATCATTTTATTTTCAACTTTTGCTTTTATTATTTATTTCTTATTATTTCATATTTTTTCTTCATTTTTTCCTTCTAATTAACTATTTAATGATATATTTTTTTCTTCAATATTTAAAAAGTTGGAATATAATTGGTGCAATGGGTGCATCAGGCTTAGGTTCTGCTTTAGCAAATTGCATTAATCTCTCAAATTTGACACTTGAACTTTCGTAAAAACAGTTTATTTGTTTTGGATTGTGATATTTTAAATTATAAAAACTAATTAAAAACAATAAAGCTCTTTTTCTTTTTATTGTGCTTTTTTTCTTTGTTAATTTAGCTCATCATTTTATTTTCAACTTTTGCTTTTATTATTTATTTCTTATTATTTCATATTTTTTCTTCATTTTTTCCTTTAATTAACTATTTAATGATATATTTTTTCTTCAATATTTAAAAAGTGGAAATTAAATTGGTGATGAAGGTGCATCAGGCTTAGGTTCTGCTTTAGCAAATTGCATTAATCTCTCAAATTTGACACTTGATCTTCTGTAAAAACAGTTTATTTGTTTTGGATTATGATATTTTAAATTATAAAAACTAATTAAAAACAATAAAGCTCTTTTTCTTTTTATTGTGCTTTTTTTCTTTGTTAATTTAGCTCATCATTTTATTTTCAACTTTTGCTTTTATTATTTATTTCTTATTATTTCATATTTTTTCTTCATTTTTTCCTTTAATTAACTATTTAATGATATATTTTTTCTTCAATATTTAAAAAGTGGAAATTAAATTGGTGCAATGGGTGCATCAGGCTTAGGTTCTGCTTTAGCAAATTGCATTAATCTCTCAAATTTGACACTTGATCTTCTGTAAAAACAGTTTATTTGTTTTGGATTATGATATTTTAAATTATAAAAACTAATTAAAAACAATAAAGCTCTTTTTCTTTTTATTGTGCTTTTTTTCTTTGTTAATTTAGCTCATCATTTTATTTTCAACTTTTGCTTTTATTATTTATTTCTTATTATTTCATATTTTTTCTTCATTTTTTCCTTTAATTAACTATTTAATGATATATTTTTTCTTCAATATTTAAAAAGCGGAAATTAAATTGGTGATAGAATAGAATAGAAATACTCGCACATATAAATGCACTCAGAATACATCTTAAATAGAATATTTTATATTAGTTTTATAAATTTTATTTGTTTTTGTATTATTAAATATATAGACATATTTATTTTGTAAATTGCCTCTAATTAATAATTTAAAAATTTATTGGTAATAAAAACTAATTAAAAACAATAAAGCTCTTTTTTCTTTTTCTTTTTATTGTGCTTGCTTTTTTTTGTTCTTTCTTTGTTAATTTAGCTCATCATTTTATTTTCAACTTTTGCTTTTATTATTTATTTCTTATTATTTCATATTTTTTCTTCATTTTTTCCTTTAATTAACTATTTAATGATATATTTTTTCTTCAATATTTAAAAAGTGGAAATTAAATTGGTGATGAAGGTGCATCAGGCTTAGGTTCTGCTTTAGCAAATTGCATTAATCTCTCAAATTTGACACTTAAACTTTCGTAAAAACAGTTTATTTGTTTTGGATTGTGACATTTTAAATTATAAAAACTAATTAAAAACAATAAAGCTCTTTTTTCTTTTTCTTTTTATTGTGCTTGCTTTTTTTTGTTCTTTCTTTGTTAATTTAGCTCATCATTTTATTTTCAACTTTTGCTTTTATTATTTATTTCTTATTATTTCATATTTTTTCTTCATTTTTTCCTTTAATTAACTATTTAATGATATATTTTTTCTTCAATATTTAAAAAGTTGGAATATAATTGGTGCAATGGGTGCATCAGGCGTAGGTTCTGCTTTAGCAAATTGCATTAATCTCTCAAATTTGAGACTTTACCTTGAGTAAAAACAATTTATTTGTTTTGGATTGTGATATTTTAAACTATAAAAATGAATATAAAACAAAAAAGCTCATTGAATTTATTTGATAGCTTTTATTTATTTTATTTTTTTTTCTTTTTTATTCCACTAATATTATTTTATTTATTAATTTAAAGAATAATTTTTAATTTAAAAGTTTATTCTATTTTGATAATTATTTTAAAATTTACACAAATTTATTATAAAAGTTTTGACTCAATGAATGAATCATAAAAGTTCAAAGTATTAAAGAAGTTTCTTAAAACAAAAAGATTAGTTGTCTTTGATTTGATAATGATAAATAATTGGTGAAAAAAGGATGAATAAATATAAAATGTTTGAATAGTATTATATATTTAATTATATAATATTTTGAAAAAGTGTTTTTCACCTAAAATATAGATAGATAGATAGATTTTATATTTATAAATATCATTCATATTTATTTTTGTAAGTAAATAAATTATTTATAAAAAATAAAAAAATTAAATTTACTTAAATAAATTAAATCCTCATAAGCAAACCCTCTGGTTTCTCCAAAAATGATAAAATAATTTGAAACTTTTATAAGTTCAAATATTTTTTTTTTTTGAGAAGACTGAGTTGGGTCCTAGCGCTTTAATTAATTCATTGAAAATTTCAATGAAAAAAATTGGTAGTGTTTATATTCTCAAAACTAAAAGAAAAATCAACCCAACCAACAATAACAAAACACAAAGCATTAACAATACTCAGGATAAAAATTAATTTTATTATTAGTTATTTAGTTCTTGATTATGAACTTTTTAGTATCTTATTTTTACTGAGTATTTATCTAAGAATTTTCCAATGATAAATAAAAAAATTTCAAAGAATGTGAAACAAATCAATAGCCAAAATACAATATACATATAAAAGTTCTCAAAACTTGCTATATTTTATAATCCTTATTCTCCAAATGCACTCTACAGATTTTTATTTTTTGAGAACATATCATCAATATTCAATGATAGTTGTAGGTTTTTAGGATTTACATAAGCAAACGTAATTATTTTAAGTAAATTTAGTGATACTACAATTTTATTTGCTCCAAGATAGATCGCTTTATTAGATGCATGTCATATTATATAACTTACTAGAATTTGCATTATTAAATAATTAAGCTATAGTAAACTGGTTTAAGGTTGCTTAAGAAGAAGAATTATAAATTTATGGTGATATTAATTCATTCTTAGAGTAAGTGAAGTTTTAACTAATATTTTTGAATTTCTATGTGTATGACTAAAATTCTGAAGTATTTTCATAAATATTTTATTTATAATTATTTATTGAAATACTAAATATGCTAGTTTAATTTTCAGAATTGGTGTCATTTAAAGTTAAAACGTATTTGAATAGATTTTTCTATGTTACTTTATCAGATAAAAGAGTAGACAAGTCACCATTTAGAATGGTTTGTC